TGGCATTTGTGGCTTTTTTGAGAAAGACATCCAGGGCTTGGTCACAAGCTACCTTACCTTGGATAATGAGGATATGGGAGGAAGCCTTTCTGGATACTTTGAAGCAAACTTGCAATGGATATTTGTTTTGTAAACTGGGAGCTGACAACATCGAATTGGTTTACAATCCCCTAATAGTTTTTAATGCTCTTGAGTGGTACAACAATCAGGGATATCTTTTTGATATTCCAAGTATAAGTAGCTTATCTGATGCAACTCACTTCTTTGGGACAATTGCTAGGCAGAACCTAGTTAAATACAAAGACCTAATTTTTTTCAAAGCAAATGCACCTGTAGAAGTAAACTTTAAGCTCAATCTTTCGTTTTCTGACATCCTCACTGCTTCAGTCACAGGACATGAAGCAGGCTGCCATAGTGTTGCCTGCTCACTGCTATATTACCTAGGTGACTCACACATAGTCCAAATGGTGGATTAATAGTACCTAATGGAACTGTACAGGATGTTGTATGTATTTATATTAACTTTTTTTTTCTATTTCTGATAAAATTGAAGAATCACAATTAACTCTTTTGTTTAGATGATTGCTCAATTAATTGAAGAGCAATGCGCTAATAATTTTGCTGGTAATGCTGAAGACAGAGAGAATGTATACCAAGAACTTATGAATGACAATATAGCTCCCTTTATTGGAATTATCAAGAATTTTTTCAATAGTGAATCAATGAGAGACCTACAAACTCTCAATGAGCACGTGCTAAAAACAGCTCTTTTGGCTCTCATTCCATTTAGTGGTCGAGTTTCTGAGCTCTGTCTCATGGCAGACTCAAGGAAACCTTATGGTCAAGGGCGTTATAAATTCCCTGATCTTTTTGTTGCCAAACGTTCACTTTTGGATATCCGGACTCTGAGTATTGTTGTAGAGCTTTGTCAGCGGTTTTCTTTGCGAGGCGGCTGTGCTCCCTCCCCGTGACAATAGAGCTCTGTAGTGTCGATGCTTAGTGAGGCCACTGACTTAGCCAACTTTATTATACTACTTAAGTATATCTTTAGAATTTTGTCCCTAATTCTTTATTGCTAGACGAATGATTTTACTATTGCTAGACGAATGATTTTGCGTTGACTATTATCTTTCAAGATTCGTGTTTCGTAGTACTCTCGTTCGCAGACTTACATTGGGATCGTGTCTCGAATATATCTTAGGCAACAGATAT